CACACACACACACACACATATGACAGTGCTGTGACAGGACTCACAGAAAATAAAGTAGATATTCAGAAAAGGTGGGGTACAGTTTTAGAGGATTTCTGATTGAATCTWTGTAAATACCTCTCTGTGGAGCAGGAGACACAAGATAGCTTGTGTTCAGGGGGATCATATCTTTGTGTCACAATGTTCACTCAAACATTTCAAAGCTAATGCTAACCTTAAGTCATCTTGATTTGTACGGATCCCTTTCATTTTTTTTCTTTGCTAGTGAATTTGTGTTACCTGCCACTGAAAAGCGAGCTGTTCTGACTCGTGTGCCTGTAAGTGTTTCAGCATCTCCTCTGCTGCTCGCCCCGGCAGACCCTGAAGCGTAAGGAGAAGGAGTACGAGCACGAGATGGAGCGTTTGGCCCGGGAGAAGATCGCCACGCAGCAGAGGCTCGCTGAGCTGAAGAACGAGCTCAGCCAGTGCATGGACGTCGTGGAGATTGATAGAGTCCTCCGACAGACCATCCAGCCTGAAGACGACCAGGTCTCCACGTCCACCGCTTCAGGTAAAGGACCGACAGAAACATTTATCTACAGCAGAGACACCTCTCATAATGGAGTTTGTTATTGGGGTACCACTTTACAATAAGGGGGTTCTTATAAAAAACTAAATAATAGTGATAATCCAGTAAATTGGTTGTGTAGATTTAGAAAGCCAACAATAATCTCTTACTGCACTGCCTCCTTTCTTCTAGTGGGGCGACACAATCACTGTTTACTTCCTGACCCTGATTAAATGTCCCAGTTTTTCCTCATTGTTGGGAACTAAAGCCAGCAGGACACGATTTGTGGAAGCTGCCGTGGCGTTTTGTCTGATCTTGCGTGCTCATGATGTGTGGCTGCGCACTCCCCAGCACACAATCACCATGTTACATGACTTTTCTTTGAAGCATGAAAAAAATGAGGACGTCAACTCAATGCAAGCATCTTCTAATGCAAAGTTTATTTTCTGAAGTTACGAAGTTAGAAAACAGGCAAAGACCTACATTTAGACAAAGGAATAAAAGTCCACCACTTGTTCTTATCAAACAGTGACCCGAACAGTTGGTAGCTAAATATTTAAGTTAAATATTTAGGTGGCTGGCTAAATATTTAACTTGCTAGCTAAATATTTAAGTTGCAACCTAAATATTTAGGTATCCAGCTAAATATTTAAGTTAAATATTTAGGTGGCTGGCTAAATATTTAACTTGCTAGCTAAATATTTAAGTTGCAACCTCAATATTTTGGTGGCTAGCTAAATATTTAAGTTAAATATTTAGGTGGACAGCTAAATATGTAACTTGCTAGCTAAACATTAAAGTTGCAACCTAAATATTTAGGTAGCTAGCTAAATGTTTAAGTTTCAAGCTAAATGTTTAGCTCAAAACTAATTAAGTCACAAGTTAAATATTTAGCTTGTTAACTAAATATTTAATTTGTAAGTTAAATATTTAGTTGATAAACTATGACATTTATAAATGTATGAATCATATGGTGAAAAACTGACTTTGAAAAATAAATCTGTTCTTTTTTTCTTATAAAAGGCTAAATAAAACAAAAACATTGGTGGTAATTTTTGACTGTGTAACTTTACAAACAGCACCCCATAGGGTTTCTTTCMACTGGAGTCTACAAAATATGGAAAAAGAAAAGGAAAAACTCAGATATCTACCATTATCCGTCCTGGTTGAAGCTCCACAGTTTTTGACAGACAAATTCCTCTGAGCAAAATGTCTGTTTTATCTTCCTCCATGGTCCGGTAAACCCAAAGCAGCGAACACAATGATGCAGTTTGTATGGAGCTTTAATCACCCTTATTGTGAAGTAGTAGTGTTAGTATAAATGTTTAGTATCACCGTTACTAAAATTGTTCTTTCTGATCTGCAGAAGGAGAAGAGAACTATGAGCAGGACGTAGACGATGAAGCTGCTGCTCCTYCTGCTTCCACACCCCTCCTCAAACCAGCACCCACCATCCTACAAGCTCCGCCCCTCCTCACTTCACACTTATCGATCCAGCACGCTGCGCTGCCTCTTTCTGGAGTCCTCACCACCCCGGCCCCCTCTGCTCCTCCMCTTCCTCAAGCCATCGCCCCCGCCCCTCCACCGGGCCCGCCCCCTCCTGCGCCGCACCCGCCGCCAGCCGTGCAGGTCCAGCCTACCGTCATAGCCCACGCCACCGTGTCCCACCCGTCAGTCATCCAGGCTGTCAGTCACTCTCTAGCAGCCAGTCACAAACACCTGACACACATCGCCCCCTCGCCCGGCCCCGCCCCTTCCAGCCCCGCGCCCCACCAACAACTCACCGCACAGCCCATCGGACACATCACCGTCCACCCGGTGGCCCACCTAACCTCCCACCTCCCGACTCTTTACCCCCAGGGCGTGCCCGTCTCCCAGCCCACCATGGTGGGCCACATCACCCACACCTTCACCCACCACCCGCTGCCCCACATCCAGGCCGGCCCTCAACCCAACGCCGGCAGCGCCCAGGTGAGCAGCGCGGCCGTGGTGAGCCAGGGCAAACCCACGGCGGTGCTGGCCCCGCACCCTCAGCTGGTGGGACAGGCCACCGTCCTCAACCCCGTCACCATGGTGACGGTGCCCACCTTCCCCGTCAGCACGCTGAAACTGGCCTGAAACAAAACAATCAGATCGACATGAAGAAAGACACGACRTCTGGGTTTCAGTTCCCAGAGAATCTGAGAGAAAAAAAAGACAAGAAGCTCGTTTGAAACACTTCTTATTTGAGTCACGGCTCTGCTGACTTGTGAACGAGTGAATGCAGACTCGGTGGTTCAGGCCACTGTTTGTGAAAATGAGACTGTGATTTTTGGCTTTGCTGCAAAGACAGGAACTCTCTGCTTGACCCCCCCACCCCTCCCCTCTCTCTGCAACCAGAAGCACTAACAGAATAATCTCAGTTCACACTCAGGCATGAAGGAGTTCCTTCAGTCACTCATTCAGTCAGTTGGCAGAAGACATGAGGTCCATTCGTCTCACAGGAGGAGTCACTGATGTTTAAGAGGAGCGTATGAAACAAGTTGTTCCTCTAAAGCTAAACTTCCTTGTTTTGCATCGTGTCAGGGTGTTTCCTCAAACATTCTGGCTTCATTTTAGTTCCAGCGTTCTCTTGGTGACCTTATTTATGCATAAAAAGAGTTAATATTTCCTCCCAAACAGAACAACCCACTAAAGACATGAAGGTATTGGTTGGTTTCCACTCTGTGCTAAGACCTGAAATGTTTGCATCACTGTGATGAATGAAAGCTACACGTGTACCCAGTCTTTGATCTGAGAGGGTTTTTAACAAACTGCACCTGTTTTTGAGGCGTAGAGTCAAACTGCTGAGTCATTCTGAAGGTAACGCTGGTTGAGCTGTCGTGTCGCCACGTCACGCCAAACAACAATCCAAAAATTAAAACATAATTTTCCAAATCTGCTCTCTAAACTTTCAGACGGGTTTCCTCTTTTTTTATTGCATCATTTTGCTGGAAGTGAAGGACTGATTTCAGTTTCTATTAAAGTTTACATCAGTTGAACATGTGAGAGCGGACCCTGAGTTTACAATTTATTATTTTTAAAAATGTTGCCAAACGACGTCAGACTCACTTTGTTCCAAAAAGTTTGAGTACGTAACAGAAAAAAAACAAACGATCAGGTTGAAAGTCCGTTAGCATTTGTCGCACTTTATTTGATGAATAATTTGCATTCAGTGTCCAAATTGGGAATGTGTGACGCCCTCATCTTTGTGCGCATATTCTGCCTCCTCCTCCTCCTCGTGTCCTCGCCTCCTCTGCTGTGTCGATATTTTCTGTATTTGTGATTATATGTTTGATATATTCTGTATTATAATTAATCCTACCGTACCTGTAGCATGGCTGTGTTTTGGTTGTACAGTTTATCCTGTGCATGATTGCGTGTGTGTGTGTGTGTGTGTGTGTGTGTGTGTGTGTGTGTGTGTGTGTGT